CCCCACCCCCCCAGCCCTGCCTGAGCTGGTGGAACTCAGGTGCAACCTTGACTGGTGCATCCATAGAAGCTTTCCAGTGGCTGAGTTGGCAAACCTGGCAGTTTCAGACTAAGACAGACCAGGAAGAAAGGCCTGACAACCTACTCCCCAAAAATCAGCCATTGGAAACCCTACAGAGCACAGCCCTACCCTGATACACGCCAGGGTCACCATGGTAGGAACTGACTCATGGACAACCACTGTACAGCCCTCAACATATTTTATGATGAATCTAGGTGGCACCAAGGAGGGCGTTTGGGAGCTGTTAGTCCAGAGAGTCCTTTCTTGCCCCGTGATGGGTTTGCAGCCCGCGTGTCCCTAACAAAGCTCATTTAATGCCACTGCTGAGTGGTCAGAATGAGAAGGGATTGGAAGGGCTCCATTTGCCTGCCCCCACATTCCACCACAAGGGATCTGCTGCCTCAGCGGCCAGAGCTGGGATGTGGGTGGTAGTGGCCTGGTATGAGTGCTTGGGCAGGGGCTTTTCCCGGGGCCCAGCACCCTCCTTCCCACCAGTGCAGTCAGGCGTGTGCTGAAGTCAGAATTCCCTGCAATTTGGTCACCAGATAACAGGAAAACAACCCACAAAACACTTGGTCCAATACCGAAGGCAACACCGGCTGGGGTGGTCCTCCTGCCAGGACAATCGTGTCCCCTGGGGACCCCACCAAGGCGAGCTGAACCCTGAAGCCATCTCTCTGCTTTGCCCACATTTGGAACTCTGCTGCTGGTGGAACAGCCCGCCCCACCGCTAAGATCCTCTGGTCACCTCTCAGTGCCCAGGTCTAGAGGTTCACATTGGGCTGCTCCCCGCCAGGTCAGCAGTTCGAACCCAGCAACCACTCCTCGGGAGAGAGATGCAGCCTTCTGCTTCTGTGAAGAGTCACAGTCTCAGAAACCCAGAGGGGCAGCTCTGCTCTGTCCTACAGGATCACTGTGAGTCCGAATCAACTCAATGACAGTGAGTGTGGCGATTTTGGGCCCCTCCAACAGGGAGCCCTGCAGGCATCACGGTTCAATACTTGATTGCTAAGTGAAAGGTCTGGACTTAGACCCCACCATCCTCCCGATATTTCTGCTTCCCGAAAAACCATGGCTCTGGAAAGTTATTTAAAAAATAAAAAACACTGCTACCCACTACTGGCCCATTTTGACTCATAGGGACCCTATAGGACAGGGCAGAAATGCCCTTGTGTGTTTCAAAGACTGTTACTCTTTACACAAGTAGGAAGCCTCAGCTTTCTTCTGTGGAGCAGCTGGTGGTTTCAAACTTCTGACCTTGTGGTTAGCAGCCCAGTGGATAACCACTCCCAAGCCACCAGGACTCCCTTGGAAGCCCTTTGGGGTAGTTTGGTTATGTCTTACAGAGTCACTATCAATCATCAAAGGCACCCTGGTGGCACAGCGGTTCAGCTATTAGCCGCTTAACGCAAGGCCAGTGCTGTGACCCCAGCAGCTGCTCTGGGGGAGAAAGGGGTGGCAGTCTGCTTCTGTAAAGATGGCAGCTTTGGAAATGACAGGTCTGCTCTGTCCAGCTGGGTGGTCTCAGGTCAGAACCCTCTGGACAGTAGTGGGCTGAGTCGGAATGGGTGCCCGCCTGCTGCTGGGGCTTGTTCTTCCAGATCACTGGGGTGCTGCAGCATGAGCCTGCCCTCACCGGGCCCCCAGGCCTGGCTGCTCTGGGTCCCATCCCACAGGCTCCTCAAAGGGACAGAAATGGACTCCCCTGGAAACACTCTTCAGGGCACACACTGGCCTCTCCTCACGCTCTGCAGTGCCAGGTAGCCACCCCAGGGGTGCTCAACATTTGTCTGTGGGAATTCAAAAGCTCCGGCTCGGGCTCGACCTCACTTTCCTAGATTGCATTTTGCAGACTGCGGTTTTTATGCAAATTGAAGGCTGGAGGCAACCAGCAATGAGCAGGTCTGTCTTGCCATTCCCAAGGGTACTTACTCCTTCTGTGTCTCTGGGTCACATGGGGATCATCCTCAGAACATTTCAAGCTGGTTCACAATGTCATCACACCCTCCATGAAGTAGAGACACCACATGTAGTACGCTAGCACGCCCAAAGTCACGTGCCTTGTCTTATTCAATCTTCACTTTCCTGCCTTGGCCCGTGGCCTGGGGCCTGGGGCCTTGAACAGAACCTGCAGAATCCCCGAGGGTCTGGCTATGAGGAAAATGCAAGTACCTGCTTGCTAGGCGTGAGAGGGAGGTTCTATAAGCAGGACTAGCTCGCAGGACGGGAACTTTCCACTTAATTGTATTGATTTTTAAAATACTACGGTGCAAAGCCTACCATCAGATGTTTGCCACTCTGAACATGGTTAAGTGTACAATGAACTCGGTGACACAAATCGGTTCATCCTCTTGGGCACCACAACCACCCTCTCTTTGTAAAGCGTTTCATCGCCCCAGAGAGGAACTCAGTAGCCCTTCAGCAATCACCCCATCCCCTCTCCCCACCCTCAGCTCCTGATCCCAGGTAATAAACGTCTGTCTGTCTTCATTCACCTACTCTTATATTTCATGTAAGGAGGCCCGGTAGCCCTGTGGGCCAGGTGTTGGGCTGCCAGCCATAAGGTTAGTGGCTCAAACCCACCAGCCATTCATTGAGAGAAAGATGGGGTTTGTGGCTTCTGCAAAGATCCTCCATATGGGAATCCCAGAGCTGCAATTGGCCCGATGGCAGTGAGTCACCTGTCAACCAAGTTGGGTCACACAGCAGCGAGTAGTCCTTGGTTTCTGACATTATTCTCCGCAACGCATTTCCAGTGCCCATCCATGATGTAGCACGGGGTCAAACTTGATTTCTCTGTATGGGGAGTAAATAGTGAGTAAAGAGTCCATTGTACGTATGTAACACATCTGTTCATCCTTGTGGCATGGGCACCTGGCTCATCTCCAGTGACTCGCTATTGTGAGTCACGCTGTCACCAACATTAGCGTGCACATGTCACCTT